GGACAGTTACTATAATTTCACTTCAACACTTCTCGACGACTAGAAGATAGTTAGGTCATGTCATTTCAAACTGACATAAAAGTCAAAAAGATATTAATATCAGATTGATATAACAAAACTGAAAATATTCTACAGTATAATTCTATATTATGTAACCTTGTAACACTTTTTATAAAGATAATAATGACACTCCAGTGTACCAACAAATACATACAATTCATGTAATTCCAAATTTAATTATTAAATATTATTTTGAATTTAGATTTAGGCGAGAATATAAAACAAATACAGTCAAAAACACCCTTTACGCATAAAGAATGAATGGAAGAAGGCATATAAATTTGTTACCTAAAAAATCTAGAAAAGTAGTTACAACCTTACACAAGTAACTTATTTATTAATGTAACTTCAACATGATATAACTTCTTACTTACTATTTAAAATATTGAATTGATTGCATATTACACCAAGAATTTTGTACGTAAATTAAATTAAAAATATTTGTTATATTTTTAAAGCATTAAATCTTAAAAGGAACATTAGTGATTTCGTAATAGTAAAAATAATAAAAATAGAACCTATTATATGACATACATTATAGGTAATCAAGTTTGTACAACGATGTCTAAAGAGATGGTCGATACTTCCCACCCTTGAACTAGGTGACGTGCAAATGTGAAACAAAAGTAATTCGTTTAAAAAAAGTTAAAATTAAAAATGAGGTAAATATATTGTTTTTTTTTTTCTTAAATAGAAGAACATTTTTACTTAACGTCTTCAGAAGCGCTGCAGTTGTGGTACGGTGGTGCTGCAGCCGCACCATAACTTAGGGCGCGTTCCCATTATGTAGTGACGATCAATAGCAGTGCAGTTTAAAGTGTCGTGACTTGAATATTTAAATGAAGTTGGTCACATATAGAACAACACGACGACGACAGATTGTCGTGACAACGGGAAGAGCTAGAACGACAGTCGTCTGACGATAAATATAACGTCACGATAAAATTGTGACGACAGATAATCGCAGCTTCAAACGATTCAAAAGACTAGGCGTCTGCCGTGAACCGATAAATTATCGTCACGTAGTGGAAACAGTTAGACACGACAGCCGTTCAACGATAAAATAAACGTCCCCGACAGATAGTCGTGATATGGGAACAGGCAAGACGCGACTGTCGTCCAAAGATAAATGAAACGTTACGACATAAAATAAACGCGCCCTAATTTTCATTCAATATTTAGAAGCGCAGTTGTAGCGCCACAGTCGTGAGACGCGTGCGCCACTTCTGCAGTGACAATTAGTGTACTAACAAAATTCTGCCACACTGTCACAGTCGCGTTACTGCAGCGCTTCTATAAGCGTATAATTTGAAGGAACTATAAGAGATAAGAAATTATTATGATTCGCCATGTAACATGATTTTTGTTTCTGGGCTACCAATATCATCTTCTAATTACTTCTAACATGAAAAATGAAAAATTGTATTGAAAAAAAAAAATTTAGTCCAATTTGCCCATAGCATAATGAACTTTATGATCGATTGTGTAACGTACAAACTAGATACGAGCCAAAACCTTCCGTGGAATTCTCGCGCATGCCCGAGAATGCTCGCACATTCCGCGGAGGATTTTGGCTCGTATCTAGTATGTACGTGACATTACAATTGATCAAAAAGTTTATTCTATGTATGACATCGTTACAATAATTCGCTTCCATTCCATTCCGCCGCAATATAAATTGAGCCTTAGAGGTAACGTACCAATTTTCGGGTATCTACTTATTTAAAGACAAAAAAAGGAACATTACACATCAACTCAATTGTATATTTCAACCAAAATTGATGACAAAGAATATAGATATGTGTAGATTTGCGAGATTAATAATAAAAACCATTATTTAGCTATGTAGATACCACCATGATAGCCATAGAGGCAAAGTTTCAGGGGAATAGCCACTCTTTTCTACATGTAGCTTGGTTTTCAAATAAACAGAAAGCAATACTGTCAACCAAGAAACATTTTCAAAATTTGTTACATAGTGATTATGAATTTAGTTATAAATTGCAAAGTGTCACGTTCTTCGTGACGTCAAAGTAATGGAGGTGAAAGTGAAAGAAATTTAGGTTTCATGCAGAGAGTAAAGGAAACTTGGAGAAAAAATATTTCACGGCAATGAATTATTAAAAATGTTGAAAGTTTGTTTTCGACGAGAAAATATATTCAGAGTTTTTTCTCATTTAATATTAGTACAGTCAAGAGCGTATTAGGCTTGACATTTGGACTTCGAACCGTTCTTATCGTAAAGGGCAAAATGTTGAATTTAAATCTTAAGTGTCAAACATGACCTTTTACCTACCGTTCTCCTGGTCTTTCGTGACAAAATCGAGGTTACGTTATTTTGATGTATTGCAGCATATCGCACCTACTATAAAACACAGACGTAACTGCAAAAAGTAAAAATTACTTAACAATGAATTTTATATACAATAACTATAATTTTTAATGAAAATTATATAACAATAACAACATAATAATAACGCGCGCATACTCATAGCCCCGGACTAGGGAAACCCTGCATCGCGGGTGCCATGGACATACACATAGACAACTACAAATTACACCCAAACTCACGAGAGAAATAAGTTTATCACCTAGTTTGCCACCCTTAGACGTGGAATATTTTCTTCAAATTTAAATGGGATGAAAACTGAGAGGTACCCTCTTTCTAACAAAAAAAGGATTATCAAAATCGGTTCACTGGAGCAATCGAGTAAAATACATATAAAAAAATCCAATCGAAGAAAGAAGTGAGAACATCCTTATTCTTTAAAGTCGACATCCTTATGTTTTAAAGGTGACAGAGACGTCATGCGTTCCTTAATTGTTGCATATAGGGCGCAATGCTCTTTAAAGCATAACATTGAAGAACTCTTGAACCGAAAACTAATATTTTTATTCTAATTGAATATTATGAAGTTTTTACTACAATAGTAAGTAATCACCTATTTTTTTGTAAAAATATTTCACTAGTTTCTTATTATTATTAATACAAAGATCGAACGAATTCCAACGTGGCTACCATTCTGTCAACTTGTAGTTGGAGTAAAAGAGAAGGCTTGGTCTACATAAATTTATTAGAAGAGGAAAAGAAAGGCTGTAACAAAATAATATAATGCTATTAAAAAAGGTACAAACAATATAAAACATTCCCTACTAGCACAGTCGAAAGTACGGGCATTTACCCCAAGAGGGCCTATATGCAGATGTATAGCGATTGCTTTAAAAATAGTTTAAGTAGAGTTGGAGTTTCACATGATGATAAATAAGCACGTTCTCTCGCTACGAGAATTTTGACGAGAATGAGAACGGAACGAACCAACGTAAGAATAATGAAGGAAAAGGAATTCGAGAACGATTAAAAATTTTAAAAGTAAGCGGCCAGGAACCTGTTCAGGTGATAAAAAGGTGGGATGACAGTGAAGGAAGTCGAATCGTCACAAATTGAGCTACAAATCAAGCCAGCAGATCTTATGAATTTTTCTGTGTTTGTTGTTAATAATTGTATTGGCTTTTTAACACTCTCAGCGTTATGTGGGCCGCTGGCCGCCCACAAAAATTCGACTGCAGCAGGCCACTACGTATCTTCGAATGTTAACCAGCAAGCCATGTGGGCCGCCGGCCGCCCACAAAAGCCGAACTGCAGCAGGCCACCATGTATTATCGAATTTTACCTAGCAGGCCATGTGGGTCGGCGACATACCAGAATTAAGAATCAAAATTTATTATCGATTTCTCTAGTCCTGACCAGTCAAAGATTGCCGACAATATAACTTGTGCGTTCGGCAAACACCATACACGACACATCCAATTCTTCTGCTAACAATTGATCTAGATCGTAATCATCGTAATCATCTCGTCCCTAGTGGTAACATCCCTTTATTTTTTGGTAGGTAAAGCTTGGAGGTGTCCCGCCGGCAGCCCACAAGGCCTGCTACAAAAGTTACTCAAGATGAGACGCGGCGTACTGTAAAATAAAATGCGTGTCCCGGGCGCCGCCCACATGGTCTGCTGTAAAAGTTACTTAAGATCGGGTGTGGTGTGCTGTAAAAAAAAAACGCGCACATGGCCTGCTACTTCAGAAAAATCGTTTGTTCTATGGCGCTGAGAGTGTTAAACGGCTTTTTTTTGCCGTAGCGACACCTGCCAGAACTTATGGAAGTTTCTTCATTCAGCCAAGTACTTTTACAGCTACCAGCGGCTGACAATAGATGTCGCTATATTAATTGCAATATTTTTTTATTATTGAATATCATGATGTTTTTTACTACCATGATATCGGTATATCTTTTATGATAATAAATACTCCACTAGTTTGTTATTATTATTGATACAAAAATGTAACAAACAAAAACAGACGACAGAAAACAGGCGCCGGTGTATCCAGTTGGGTCCAAGTAATTTTTCTTTGTGTTTCTTCTATATTCACTTGATATTATAAAAAAATTAAATTAAAAATCTTTATATTAATTATGAAAGAAAACTTAACGCATTTTCTATAAATTGCAAATGTAAGTCAGGTCACTGTTTCTTCTGAGGTGCGATATGCAATCTTGTAACTCCTAAATTAATATAAATCATAATAACGTAACCGACAAAATGCACTTCATTACATCGATGGCATAATTCAATCAGTGTACAATGTACAAAAAATCAATCATTTTGATGATAAGTTATTTTGTCATAGACTTGAAAGCAAATTCCGTTTCAAACTGTCTTCGTATGTACCAAGCAATTAGAAATAATTAAGAGCTTAAATGACATCCATAAAAGAAGAAATTTGAACATAAAACAAATTACTAAGGGATTTAGATGTCTAAGAGCATTAACAGCTATAGCCATGGAAGTAAAGCTTTAAGAGGCCAGTCTTCGCGGGCGGGTTACGCTTTTGAAAATTTTGTTGTTATTTCTTTTGGCTGTGATTCGAATATATTAAAGATAGCTTGTTTCGAATTATTTTCACCCTCTTTTCATATTACGTGTTCATTTGTTTCTAAATAATAATTATCAGAAAATTATAAGCCTATTATTTTGTAACTGACGGAATACTAATAAACCACTAACTTGGATAATAATTTCTAAATCATGTCATTAAGTTCCATTACTTAAATCGAGATTGAATAAATAAATTTCCTTTGTATAGTGCGCGCTCGCAAGACTATCCTCTTCAACGTAAACCAAAAGTACCAGGCGCCCATAATCATCTTAGAGCAATTACAGCACATGTAGATTTTCGCAGGATTTTGACTTTGAAATGTCGTTGATACAAATCTTGTGAAGCAGCTCGCGGGCGATGTTCAGAGATATGTGGGTGCGGGAGCTCGCCAGTTTTGTTGTCTTCTCCTGGGAGAAAGGAAAAGAGAAAATTAATAAATGCTATACGACTATACAATTCCTTACTCCTTACAGAACACGTAGATTTGAAAAACCCGAAATATTAATTGAACAAAATTATACACATCGTTTCTGGTAAGCCCCGGACGTAGAGTTCCCGCTGCTGTTATCCTCCATGCAATAATAATAATAATACAAAATAATAATATAATACAATATACCCTGAAATTTATAAAACCATTTACCAGCTACGTAGTCGACCAGTGCAATGTTAAGTATTTAGATCGATCTATGCCGAAATGCATAAAATTTGATACGACATAAATGGAAACACATTCTTTATAGACAACACTCATGGTACACTGTGAGACTTACGTATGTAGCTTGATTTATTTCAGTACAGAAATAGATTAGAGCAGATATATAAACTTTTTCATCACACCTGTACGTAAATAGTATGATTGCATGCAGGTTAACCTGACTATAATGCCCAAATAAAACGATCGGGTCTTTTTTCTTCTCATTACCGACCGTGGCTGTGAAATATATAAAATATTGTAAGTTTCACGGGCGGGAATTCGTTATTTATTGCTAATACACAATGTACTAAGTATTTGCATGGCCAGTGCAACTTGACCGAAACATCAGATTTTGCAAAGGACGATGTTTTGTTTTAAAACAGATTGCCAGCTGGTCTTCCATAGATAACACAACTCGAATACCACAGTGTATTAGATATGAAATAAATGATTACCAAATTCTAAAAATACTGCAGAATTTGAATCCACAAAATAAATTTAGCAAAATATTTTATAATTGCAAATGTTTAGTTTTTTTATACTTCAAGTTTATGCGAAGTATCCTTCAGATTTTTTGAGTTTAAAAAACTTTTGCTTAATCTTGACGTAAAAAATCTATAGGACAATAATGCAATGAAAAAAACCCTTGGGTATAATTTAGAACACTACAGTCGGCTTTGCCTGCATGTCATGACACTGATTATGAGCAAGTGTGATAAAAATAGAAGTAATAATAAAAAATAAAAATAACTTTCATAAACAATACCTATTAAATTGTTAAATCGAATTTATTTCCGTTTTGAAATGTTAGTAAAGCAGATACAGTCAAGGGCAAATGAAACCACATATAACAAATGGAGATGGTATCATACACGGTTAAAAATTGCATTTCGATTGGAAATACCATATATAGTTACAATGCAGTCACTGTGCAGCTTACATATACTGCATTGAAACTGCTTTCTGATTGACCGTAGTTCATTGTCAATGTAAGTCATCATTACATCATCAAGTGTATCATACACTTAGGCATTCATCGAACATGACTATCCGACAAAAGAAATCTTACGCAAAAGTTATCAGTGACTTGGTGTCAAGTTGAAACACAAATGCTATCTGAGACTGTTTGAGAAGCAATCTCGAGACGCTTCAGAATAAACTTAAATCTGCTTGTAACTGTGTACACTATCTGTATACTTGCACAAGTTTATTTAATATAATATTTAATTTTATGATTTTATTTTTCTATTGTCTGTTATGTTATTTTCTGTAATGATTTCCGGTTAGTGTAATTTCGCATATGAAATAAATATATATATTTTTGTTTGTTAAATGCAAAACAAAACCTTATAACTAATTACAATCTAGCAATTTTACAAGACTAATATCAATTTTAATTTAATATACTTTCCTGCAATAAAAGTAACTTATATAAAGAAGTTGTCCATCGACAAAATATCTTTTAATATTAGTTAAGGGGAAGACATCTTGTTTGTGTGTTCATAGTATAGTTAGCACTGGCGCTAATATTTATTGTATAAAAGGTTTAGTTCTTTGTAGTCTACGCACTATCTTTGTATTGTCTAGTAGTTGTATAGCCTCTATGTTCACGTGATAATGAAGTCTATGATTTTTATCCCAAGTGTACAATGTATCAAATGCATCAAAATTACTTGAAAATCTACATTATCGCAATAATCTTGGAACTTATAATTATTTTCAAACGAATTCCAGTTTGAAACAACAGCTAGTTTTAAATTAATTGAGCAAGGTCCTTTTTTGGTTAAATCGAAACCTCAAGTAATTTCGACGCCGACTGTATCTACCCATCTCGAAAACAAAGTCATACTAATGATGAAATGTACTGCAAGGGTTTAGCAGAAATGTATCCAATTACCAATTATCAAATTGTTTACGTTACTACCTGCGCTTATTTCTCATAACTGTTACGATTTACAGTCATGTTACATGTAAATACACACCACAATGTAATAAACAGGGTTCAACCCAATTCTCGAGAACAAAAATTTAATAGCTGATTTTTTTGTGTTTTTTAGGAAGGCGCCATGAATGAATATTTAAGATTTCGTTATCATAGCACGACTCTATTTTTATAATCACTTTGCAATATTGAAGGAAGAATAAAAAGTTTTACAATGGTATGAAACATATAACTAATCATAATTCCATATTAAAATATATGAAATTCCATATTAAATTGATGGATATTATGACACGTAATATTATCACAAAAGAAAAAAATACCACCTAGTAAAATATACTATAGCAGCATTGAACTATATTCCGGGATATTATTAAAATCCTCAACCACTGCCGCTCGAGAACCAAGAATAAATAATTCATGCTCTGTATTAATGTACGAGGAAATGTTTTGCTACGCACTACGTGTTGACTACGGCTCGTAGCAGCATTGTTACGTAGCAGTATTATTTTTTCAATGCTACGTGAATAAATATTTTTTTATGTTACTCTGTATAAACAAGTATCTTGAAAAAATTCTGCATGTTGCTAAAACGGAATAGGTTGCTACTGTCCGTAGCAAAGCTACATCGTAGCACTTTTATAATTCCACTGCTACGGGTAAAAATATTAATTTCCGCTGGCGAGTATTTTTGGAAATTATGAATGTAATGTTAGGTGCGGGTTTTCTTCCCTTAAAAAACTGAGCGATAGGCCCGTGGCCTCAAGTATGACGTAAGTAAAAGTGAAATGTTAGTGCTCAAGGCAGATGCTAAACATCTTTCCGCCAGTCACTCTTGGAGGCAGTCCCCTTAAAACATTATCGGAATTGAAGTACTTGAGGCACTTGGTCACTTAGTTCCTAAGATATGACGTGGACCTAGAGAGGGTGTGTAGGGCGCTGGCTATAAGGAATAATATGCTGATCCGTAAATTTGCGGGATGTACAGTAGACGTGATACCAGGTAAAGTGTTTTATGATACCAAGAGTGACGGAACAAACAAGTCTTATGCCTGGTGGCACGCCTATCCATAACAGTTGCAGTATCAGAGCTATCACAAAGATCTGAGGGGCACTGACACTGCGCCCGTCGTGCAGTTTCAAGTGTCGTGGCTTGTAAATTTAAAAGAAGTTATTCACATATAGTACAACACGATTTACTGTCGTACACGACTTTTTTGACGTTACGACGACTGACTGTCACGACAATAGGAAGTGCTAGAACAACCGTCGTCAGAAGATAAAACGGCACGATAAAATTGTGAAGACAGATAATCACAGTTTTACTTGTTTCTTATACGCTTCCGATAAATTATTGTTACGATGATGACATCGGGAACAGCTAGACACGACAGTCGTTCTACGATAAAATAAATGACAGGCACGCGACAGTCAGAATAAATAGAACGTTACGACATAATGTGAATATTAAAGTTTATAATTGCACTTTGGCATGCAAGTATTTTTTTAAAGGTAAATAAGATTCGGGTTTATTATTCATTGTCAATGAAGTGAATATTGAAAGGGGTTTATATGTAGTCTGCCATCCTTGTCACAAGTAACGCATTTGCAGTTTGGTGACTTTCACGATATTGATACCTAAACACCAAAAGCTTTATCTGAAAAATATCAATTACGCTAATTTTGTTATACAATAAAACTGAAACTAAATAAGACATAAAAACACTTATAGAGGATTGTAGATCTCTTTTCCTGTTTCCAGATATGTTAAGAATACAATTTTACTAAAAATGTCGATTACGTTAGTTATAATTACGGTTAAGTAGTAGCATCTGGGGACGGCTTTCGATTTCAGAGATATAATAATAATAATCCCTTTATTCGCTTCAAATGGGGTAGGGTATATTATACATGTTGATGGTAACATTAAATCAGCACTTAAAAGCATGAAAACACAAATAATCAAATAATACACTGATAGATTAAGATTAAATGTTAAAATAATAATTAGACAATGAATTGATAAATTAATGTTAATTGATTTAACACGAGATGTCGTAATCGTGTATGTCATAATTTAAAGTAAATTGTAATAATTGTAAAGAAAAATGTATGCATCAATTAATTAGTCCTTATATTTTACGAATTCGTCAACTTAGTAGAACAAATAATCAAAGAGTTACCTACGGAATACCTTTTTGAAACTAGTCAATGGAAGAAGCTTAAAGCGATCTGGTATACTATTAAAAAATATCCACACATAACGTACGAGTTATTTTGAAAAGGTTTTGTTTTGGGTATTATACCAAGTATCACTTTATTGGGGTTCCTTAGGCTCAACTGATACTGGCACGGAGTCGAAGCCACGCGACGCGTCATGTTTTTCGCCTATAGCATATTCATCTCTATTTTCCCATTATTAAGATACAAATTTGTGTTATGCACAAATAGAATCGCGCGCGTCTTGGAGTGTTGTTTAATGTCGCCGCTAATGCGAGTGTCGTCGCGTGACGGTGCGCGTCGCCATGCGTTGTGGCTGAAAAACGACGCGACGCGATGCTTCGACTCTGCGCCAGTGTGAGTTGAGCCTTAGGCTTCAGGCAGTTACGTCCTTTTGATAGATTTTGTTTCGCAAATACACCAACTTCGAGTATGTACAGGCGTGGGAGGGGCAATACTCTTAGCGTTTTAAAGTGCGGACGACATGAGACATACGGCGCTACATTGCAAATGGTCTGTATACATCGCTTTTGAGCGGTCCCAAAGTC